TTTAACATATTCAGTTGATAATAGAACATATTCATCTTATAACATTACATGTTCATCTTATAAGTTGACATGTTCATTTTACAATGAAACATATTCATCATGTTAAGAAACATATTACGTACGATCAACTTATTTATCTTGTACAAAATCAACATATTCATCGTGTTAATAAACATGTTCATCGGAGAAAGAAACATGTTCATCTTATAATTTAACATATTCAGCTGATAATAAACCATATTCATCTTATAACATAACATGTTCATCTTATAAGTTGACATGTTCATTTTACAAAGAAACATATTCATAATGTTAAGAAACATATTACGTACACAATCAACTTATTCATCTTGTACAAAATCAATATATTCATCGTGTTAATAAACATGTTCATCTGAGAAAGAAACATGTTCATCTTATTATTTAACATATTCAACTGATAATAAAACATATTCATCTTATAACATAACATATTCATCTTATAACATAACATGTTCATCTTATAAGAGTTCACGAGCAATGCATTTGACTAAGGGGCATTGGACCTCCCTTGATCTGAGTACAACAGCTAAAACCCCATCCATGAGCCGCTGAAGAACCAGCATATGAGAATGTATTAGACATCATGAAAAAACTACCAATAACAGAATTTTTGACATATTCCTTCAAGTTAGAACACCTGTGCACCTTGTACTCACACTCTGGAGATATCAAAGCAGGGTAAAGCTCCTTAGAGGCCATAAGATGGTGTTTCAATCTTTCATCCCTTTCTTCACAATACAATGTACCGGAGTTTCCCCATTGACACGACACATTTACTATCGAATTTCTAGCTAACCATCATCCCTTTCCGGCAAGGATTCATTTCCCACTGAGGGGATCTGACCGGAGTTCAAATTGTTGTACCGGCTAGCCACATTCCTCTCGGGCCTCGACAGCTTCTTGCGGTTCGCCACGTGTTCCCTGAACAGTTTCTTGGGTTTGACCGAATTCAGAACTGAGTCGTCCTTCTTCAAAGCCTTTCTCGACGAAATCGTTGTTGCGGCCTGCCTCAAGTTCTTGAATTCAGACTACACTCTGACGTTTCTCCGCTTTGAGCTCACGCTCGAGAAGCCCTTGCCCAAGCTCGCCTTCTCTTCAGCTATGCCCTGCAACTTCCAGTAGCACGATTTTCTCCATCTCTGAACTGGAGTGGACATCTCGGGCCTCCACAGCATTTGCCTCGACCTAGCGGCCCCAAATATCTTTGCGGGCCCAACGCTGGCCCCCTACGGGCCCCCGAGATGATCTCAATGGGCCCTAGACTGATTCCCCTTCTCTTAGCATTCGGTCGTGCGCTCACGGACGAGATCTCATCAATAGTCCCCTTATCATCTGCATTTTTTAGACCCTTTAACATTGCGGGCACGACCTGGCTTCTCTTCTCTTCAAAGAACATAGTTGGATTCCTTCGAATATTTGTTGTAAAAATTAAAATATAGTTTGAAGAAAAAATTCTTCAATATTTTTGGAGTTACAAAGGAAGTGAGTTCGAGAGAATAAAAAGAAAAATTGAGACAGATAAATATGGCTCAGCATGCTCTGTACAACATAATGCAAAATACATAGCTCATGGTTTCTCCTTTCTAAACTTTAACTAATCTTAAGAAGGCATGTAATTACATCTAATGAGTGAATCATAACACTTCAAAAACTCACAATTTCAGAATGATAGAACAAATTATTCATTCCAAATGCCATGTACAACCGCCTCAAAACAACTCAAACAATATGGCAAGACAACACAGCTCAAGCACATAATTTAAAATAAGGGCTAAAGCAATCAACACTATGATGCCTCAAAATCACATTCTTTTATCTCGAGCAATCATCTCATATGCCAAGTTCATATAACTGAGATCACATGTTAATATTTATTCGTTCACAGCCTCATAATCACCTCACATCATACGGCTTAGCATATGCCAGTACATGAGTCTCAAATATGCAAATAAGCAGGCTGCAGGAGCTCATTTAACACTAGCAAATAAGAGACAAGTCAAGAATGGCCATATTACTTCTTGTCGGGAATAAAAATGGAGAAAATAATTTGTTCTCGGCTCTCAGTTTACTGTAGCCCGATAGCCCTTGACTGCTACTCGACCCACACAAAGGCTCCGAATGGAGTCGGCTCGTCTGTGTCGCTGCTGCCAGGTCCGTGCACGGTAGACCTCGGACGATTTGTCGCGACACTGTGCGAGACTACGGTTCGTGGCAGCTGAAAGGACGTGAAGGGGACTCGCCTCGGCTCACGGTTGTTGTCCGGGGTGGCTCGAATGACGGCAGATTAACAACAATTTTTTAGAGCAAGGGTTGTTCGCGACTCGACGGTGGCTGGGACTGAAATTCTCGTCGTCGGCAGAGGCTGGATCACACACAGTACGCCGGCGAAGGGCTTGTTCACGGCGTGGCGTCACCGGTAGGTCTCGGCAGCGGTTGATGCCGGCGATGTGGGACTCAATTCGCGAACAGAGAAAGAGGGCGACGGAGGGTCGTTAGCGGCGATTGATAGGCGGATGTCGGCAGCTGTTCGAGCAAACAGAGACACGCGACGGCGGCTATTTCTCGACTGGTCTCCTCGGTGTTCACGCGGACAACAAGGTGGGCTCCTCGATTACTGCTCGCGATGGACGTTGAGGGATGCCGAAGGTGTCTGATTGGGTTTTAAGGAAAGAGACGAGGTCGTCGAGGGGGAGGGAAGCCGAGTGGCTGCCGTACAAGGGGTTGGGATTGAGGTGAAGGACAATTTTTCCAGCGGTGGAGGCGATTTTGGACTGTGGAAGCCGGGCCGACCATGATGAGATTGAAATTGGGGAAACTATGGTTTACTAAGATTTGTGGCTTAATTGGAATATGTAGAGGTGTTTAGGTGAAATAATAATATCTGAATAGTTAAACACCTTATACATAATTATATTTTTTTGTTAAGTTATATATTTTTTAACTTTTTTAAGTAAGGGTATTTTCGTATTTTTAACAACTATTTTTTTGAATTTTTGTTTAATTAAATAAAAAAAAGACACGTGTCAATCACTTAAGGGATACCTGCTGTTAAGTAGGTACAAGCCAAAGTACAAGGGTACCTGACTGTAGAAAAGCCCAACTAACTAACAAAATAAATTCTAAAATACTATTAAATAATTAATCTAATAACAATCTTCTAGAATCTTCGCTCCTCGGCTCGCACGGCTTGCCTCGTGTGATCGCGCATCACGTCCGCGTACGCCCCCGCGTGCTTTGTCGGATGC